AGTAGACACGAAGGCATGTAAAATATATGGAATCGGCTCAAAAGCGTTGTACACAGCAAGTGCACCGTTAGACCACACGCTGAACAGCCTTCAATGTCGCCGGGGGTCGTGCTATTTGTGTCCGTCGCGTCGCATTTGGGACTCGCCGCTGATATAACGCCGACGCTGGAGCAATCGAAGTACCTAGACCCAGGGATGAGTCCGAGTGCGAAGGCAGCCGGCGGGTGGTTGGTGGTCGCCGACGAAAGCGAGTGAGGAGACGCGAAAGCGTGGAAACTATCTCGCCAGCCAATCATATTCTTCCTTTATGGACCCTGTTTGTCCCCGTGGGAAACACCATTGTCGCTTTATTATAAGATCTGCAATATCTAATCTCATCCATCATTTTGAATGTACATATATGCATATTCGCGCATCTTTCCACTGTAAACGCGTCAAGGTGTTTCTAAACCTCATGTCGAGCTGGAGAAGCGCCCGTTTTGTAAGCCAGCCTGCCTGCAGACTTCAAGCATACCCGCTCACCTCAACATGCGTTGATGATGGGAGATCAGTCACTCAGATCCCTCAAATGTTAATCATCCATCGTCTTCCGTCATCGCTGGTTCATGAACTGCCTTTTTGTTAAAAATTGTAGTTTCGCTCTGACGTCGCTTTTCTTCCGCGATGGAGGAACGTGGAGTTGCTTAATCCCCGCGCCGACAGACATAGGGTGCTGCAACGAAAACGCGTGGTCTTGATTCTTGTTTCCCGCCTTCCCCCTTGAACAGCTTCTCACACAATTGAACTTGCTGTCGTTCGTTTCCATTTTCTGCTTATTTTGGCCAGATTCCTGGGTTCGGTAAGACGGTTCGCCATCAAAGACTAGTCAGTGGATGGGAGATATCGTTGGAAGGAAAATTAATTGATATATTCGAGCTAACCTCAAGAAACAGACGTGGATTGCCACAATCTCCATGCCGAGATCATGATCAAAAGTCTCTTCAACGCTGTCATCGTGTCATTTTGTCCCAGATATCCGTACCCGTACCAAATAGTGTACTAGTATATCGATGGCGATCTAACTGCCATGAGTATGAAGGTAAGCTCGCGATTATGGCTCAATCATCCTTTCGCCGTGAGTGGAGCTTGGCGATAGCCTTACCACGGAGAAGGGATCACTCCGATTGTGATCCAGCTGCCATATTATAATTATCTACGCCAAATCTACGTACGCTGCAATATTATTTATTGGGACTGAAGAAATGGGAAATTGCAACGTACTGTGTGTGATTCTATTTCCAGGTCATAAACTTGGACTGGAATTCGGGGGGCGGGTCTAACTAGACCGAAATATGGATCGAGGTGCGGGGAAGCAACTGGGGGGGATCGGTTTGATTTTCCAACGTCGATCATCCAATCTGATGGCGGTCATGATTGGCAGGGGTCGCGGACTGAGCCGACTCGGATCTATTATCGCAGTAAATGATGACCGGGAATCTAATCTAATCGTCGTTCATCAATCCACCGCCAATCCCATTCTTTTCTTTGATAATTATCAATCCATCCATCTTTCATTCATTCTTTCCGTCGAAAACATACCCTTCTAGAATACCCATTTGCCATCGATACGGAATCACATCCCCTATCCACGTTCGAATTCCACACACATATGCACGCAAGCCCGGTTGCTGCAAGAGCTGGCATGGTGGACCACATGATTCGCACAAGATACTTCTGCAGTGTGCACAGTGCATGCGCAGTGATACGAGTACGCCAAAATACTGTACTCCCACCCTATGCCCTGAACACTTGACCCCATTGACTCCACTCACCAACTCCGGGTGCACCACGTATCGGTCCTGCTGTTGCTGGGGTTGGAAGTGCATGCAACTTCGACGACTCTGAATCTCGATGTGGGAACGTTGCGTTATACGCTTTTTATTCTGTCGGGGTTTCAACTGTGGCTTTTTCCCCTTCCAACCTTTTGGATTCTCTGGGATGGACGATGTTGTTCATCGGGGCAATCTGGCTGCCTTTTGCGTCTTCTCTCGCGGCGTCTTTGAGCTCCTTATCGTCTAATGATCGTCCCAGGCTTTGCTATCTATCTCGAGCTTCCTGCTATCTTGACGATTCTTTCCATGTTCAGACGTATGGCAACGTGTAGCGATTACTCTCAGCCATCTAGGAAGCGGTATGTGATTCTTGTGGCGCCGCTGATATTCCCAGACAGATCGATGCAAGACAGCTCGCGAATCCCACACAGGATGCAGCGTATGATGCGCTCGACTCGCCAATCGTAAATATCCGTCTCGATATGCTTTCTTAGCACTTCGTGTCGTTGTTCTTGATCCGTCTTTTGTATATCGTCCTCGAACTCTATCTCTTGACGTCCATGCTGTCGGTGGATCTGAGCTCATCTAGTCTTACTGCTCCCAACTAGTGGTTAAAATTTGGTAAAAGCTTCGAGGGTACTTCCCAGATTGTAATGATTCTTCGTTCTTCGAGTTCTATCTACCATTGCTTCACCCGCCCTGGGACGAAATCATTCTGGCCTGTATTTCATTCCATGGTCTACCCTCGGTAGCTCACTTCCAGGTGGGTTCGGGTTGATTTGGACCGGCGCCATAAAAAATTGGGGCGTCTAATTATGGACTAGGTTTCCGTGTGATCCACAAATAGCACCTGTGTTAAAAAAAGGTTCCGGGCGCCGGGGAAATTCGTGTTCACGTTAATTCGTCGGTAAGAGCAGGCGGAATAAAGCGGCAAAGGCATATATTCATATTTGTAATTCTCACTTTGTAATCATGAAGTCGCGTAAGTCAATGCATAGAGTTTAGATTGGTGAAAGCCTTTTACTCTTCTCGCTCGAACGCGAGTAAGAAATCGAGTAAATGCATCCGTTTCGAGCTTCAATTCCACACAGAGACAGACGCCGACAATTCTAAGCGCCGACATCCGCGCACCAAATCATTGCCTCATTCTACCCCTCACTTCCGACAACTTCCCCGCAACCTTAGGAACCCGATAAGTTGACTGGCCCGTGTTTCCTTCTTATCCTCTCTTGAGCTCCAAGAACGGAACTTACCCAGAGCTCTTACGTCGATCCTCCAAAGCCAAGCGGGAAGAACACTGGTGTGCACAGAGTGCTCCTCATGAGGTCAAGGAAGAGTGGCTATTGAGCTTGGCGCTACCCCACAGCATAATTGCGGAATCGATAAGGAAGATGAAAACGCGGCATTGAAATCGCTCCGTTCCGACCTTCTCGCTAGACCCGAAGAAAACATACCTTTCCGTGCGCAATGCGCTTGTTCAGGCGTGCGCTGTTGAGGTGGGCATTAGATAGTGCTGAATCATCCCGGAGGAGAGAACTCAAGCATGAGTCAAGGAGGAGATACAGTTACCAATCGCCGCAGACATCGCAAATACGAACACGCAAGCTCGTCCCAAGCAGGGATTTGACTCGACACGCACTGTGGTTACAAAACGCGGTCACATTGACCCAAAAGTAGTCAAAACCCATTTTTGGCAGTCACACTTACCCACATTAGTCCGACTGCTTTCCGGGGAGGTCAGAACAACTACCACCAGAACAGTCAGGATGGGGGAAAAATAAATAGTCATTTTATCGACCCTCGTACTACCCCGCGCCTTCGTAAGTACATTCGGATGAAGATGGGACAATATATATGACTAAAAATGCGTGTCACGCTGCCTTCATTCCTGGGCTAAAATGAGAGAAACTCGCAATTTTAATTGAATAAGCGCGCGTATACCATTTATCTCGCTGTGTTTAAATAGTATAAATGTGCCTTCGTATGCTCAAAAAACAAGGGAGTGATTATATGAAAATTTGATGAACAACTCTTGCTGATACTCTGAATGAAAGCGAGCTCAGCTGGGAGAGGCCGCTTATTCGGTTTCAAGCTGACAGTGAAAAGCTGCACCTTCGGCTGAAGGATGTTACCGTCAAACTTGACAAAGCCACTGCACAGCTCGCGGCCGTGAATTCCCGTAACAAAAATATTTGTGCAGAGTTAGGGCGAACACCGAGGACAGAATCTGGAAAAGCTGAAACTGGAAGATGGGACAGCGGCAAAGATGCCAGTGGTTTCGCGATACATTTATGGTCTCTTTTTTATCCAATCTCTCACAAATTAGTTAGGTGGCCGTCAGGACAGACTCGTCGAGGGACTTCGGAGTTGAGTTAGACATGCAGTGAAAACTCAAACCCAGGTCCAAGAACTCACACCTTCTCTGCACCGTCTCTCTCATAAATGCTAAGAGTTTCTGTTCGCGGAAACCTCCCAACCGATCCATGCACACGCAACGAGTCTCCACTGGTACGGCAAGATCAAACGCGATCCACACGAGCTCAGCGTGCGAATGCGAGGCGAGGAGGACTTGGGGAAGTTTAGATAGTGCATTTAGAGAGGAAGGTGATGCGGGACTAGAAGAAGATCGGAAGAAGGCGCATTTGTTGGTGGTGGGATATTATACAGATTTGATGAGAGATATAGAAGCCAAGCCGGCCGTACTGATGAAACACAAGGGATTTCATGAAGATTTGACCTGCCTACGTCCCATCCTCTTTCCTCCTCCACCCAAACTGCCAAAGCTCGACTTTCTATTTAGAAATTTGCTGGAGAACTCTTATGTTTTTTGCACATTCTTTACATCCTTAATTTACATGATCGTCTGAAATATATTCGGCCAATTTGGGAGATCTGATGGCCAACGGACTTATATAACTTCCATTCTTTCCTGCTCTCCCTGGTGAAATCTGGGATAAATACGAGTTTTAGCACTGTAAATGTGCCAAAGGCTCTATCTACATTCTATATATGTTTAGAAATGGTACAGTTATATTTACCCGACGTTTGGAATTTTTTGAGTGGAGGGAAATCTCCCTATGCGCAGGAAAGGTGGGAGCGGAGGCACGAAGGACTTAGGCGTGAGGCGCGGAGTGGTCACGTGCATACGAACTTAGCTATATATTTAGATTAACTGCTCTCTCAAGAAATGCCTCCATGGCGCAGCGGTAAGCTGTGCATACCTGGCTGCTTGAGCGCGTCGGTTCGATTCTCGCTGGGAGCAGTTGATGTGTCTCTACACAGAGTCCCATTTTTACTTGCTACGCCCAGAAATCGCGGTCATAATAACCGCTTTTGAGGGGGACTGACCAAAGGGCAGTCACCATAACCGTGGAAAAGTACCTTTTCAACGGTCAATACAGCTGCTAAATATCAGTCACCTAGACTGTTCCAAAGTAGTTCGCGTGAACTGCTTATGGGTAAGTCAGCATGACCGGGTTTTCTAACCACAGTGCACGGTGAGGAGGTGAGTAAGCAATGCGTTTTCCCTCGGCGAGCATTCGAACCTCGAACGAAGCCGTTCAAACAAGTTGAACTGGTTCTATTCTATCAGGATAGGCTCATTATATATATTGTTCAAATATCCAAAATCAGGTGCAATCAGATACTCATATATACAAGCTGTGCTCACTGCTGCGGCCACACTGTCTGAACGCCCAGTATGTTCGGGACGTTCGGCGAAGACGCAAGGCGATAATATACTCGTGGGCGATGGCGTGGATATCGCATATGTGCATTATCTGTAACCAACCTTTCTACACTTGTACTGCAGCTGATTCATCGTAGGAGGAAAGCACAAGTCCGGTTGACCGAGAATTTCCGATGTGCCTCATTGGTTGGAATAATTGCCAGATGGATGTCGGTCGGGGATGCGGACCGTTGGGCCCAAATTGCTTGGCATGCGCCACTTCAGCGGCTTATAATTAGGAGATTCCACCGTGTACTACATAGAATCGTGGAAGTATATTGGATCAGAAGTGACAAGTGAGCGCTTGAGCATCTATATTAAACATCGTGCGATGATTCCTGAGTGTACAATAGATTTGGAATGGTTCCAAGGCTATCACCATTGACGTTCCAGGGCTCACGAAATGATCGTCAGTCAACAGTTTGAATTCAGCGCAGATAAAAGTACAGGAATATTTTGTTCAAGTTGCGAGGATACCCAAGTGGCATTCATTAGAAGCTCAAGGATTTACGCCAAACCTCGGATGGCCCTTTTCTCCTTCATATAATTGCCCCACTTCATAAACTCCCGAATGACCATCATTTCTTCGCTTGGTTTTCCCGCCTTGCGAAATGCAGTTGCCAGGGAAGGGATGAAATCCGTCCAATAATCATCATTAACATCAAGGCCCTCCTTCACCACCGCCTTCTGGAACCTCAACATCTCATCCAAGGTTTCAGCGGGAAGCTTCCGGCCTTTTGGGAGTTGCTCCCAGGTTAGGCTTTGACTCTTATACGCCTGGACGCGCGCGGAAAAGGTCTTGCGGAGGGTATCGGTTTCGGGGGTGGCGTTGATGCAGGCAGCGCAGATGCATTGCGTGATGCCGTAGGGTTCAAGTTCTGCTTTTCGGTCAGAGGCAGATTTATGGATGCCACAGTACGAGAAAAAAAGCTGTTCTTCTGCTTTAATATCGCGGGAGGCCATGAAAACCATGGAAAAGGCGGAGATCTTGAACGCATGGGTAACGTTGGGGATGCAACTGGAAGTAAGATCGGTATTCACTTGCTATGCAAAAAACAAAACATATCGACGCACCTATGATTGATCCGCGATCCGACATCACAAAGAACGCTGTAATAATGCAGATTCGACGAATCCCCCTCCTTGAACTCCCCATCTCCATCCCGCAAATTCATGACCTGATATCCGTTAGTCCTGACAATGCCATTAATAGGCCCACTTCCATCCTCCTTATGGCTATTCTGCAATGCCATCAACCTGGCCCTCGTTTCAGGTTCCATCCGCGACGCCGCCATTTCAAGCTGCTGCTCCCTTTCAAACAACAAGATTTTTGTATAATCCGCCAAGCTGTAATCGTTAGGATTGACTTTCGAGATAGGCTTAAGCGCACGTGGGGAAACGATTGACGGCCTTTCAGCGAAGATGATCTCGCCCATGGGGATATCGCGAGTGGCAAATACCCCCTTCCCCATCGTCGGTGTCGATTTGATCTCGTATGACTTTCCTTTGGGCGATTTGGGGACAGGCTGCGGGTACCCTGGCGCATTGATTACTTTGTTTTTCGTAGTCCCGTTGACAATCCATTCGCTGTGACCATCTGGATCGGGGGGCTGGCCAGCTGAGCGCGCAGGAATGGTAATTATTGCTGGCTGGTTGGCCCTCATAGCTTCAGCCTCAGAAAGCATTTTTGGCTTGGTGGGGATATAGCCCGCGGGCAGCGCTATAATTTTTTGATCAATTTTCTGGACGAGGAACGGATGGGGAACGGACCCGTGTTTTTGACTTTTCCATGTGGCACTTTCATCACTTGGACAGCGGGCTCGCGATCTGATGGCCAGAGTAAGGGCATAGAATGTCTGAAGCATTCGTAAAATTAACACTCACCAGCTGCAACTGCCTTGATCGCATTCGATGGGGGAGCAGAGATGGGATTCACGACGACAGTAGTGGTGGATTCGCCTTTCGGATACAAAGCTGCCTTTTTGTTGTTCAGAAAGCCGCGTTTCATGACTGATGTGATTAAAACCTAGAGGGAAGAAAAACTGGAGTTGAGAGTAAGAAGGCTTATATGATAAGGGTGCCACTGACTTCGTCAGGACATCAGCTGAGTTGAAATCGAAGCGAGCTTGAAGCAATTTGGGAGCGATCGGTCGATTCTTGTCAATGCTCAATTGAATACACAGTACTAGTGCAATGTTTCCACGCTTCCTCAGAGAATCGTCAACATTTTGTAAGACTTGGGGACGGCTTGAAGATGGACAAAGCACAGCATCGTCACGGGAAAAGGGTTTGGTTGCGGCGCGCCTAATGCAAAGATTAGATAAGATCAAGCCGGCAATATCATTCCTGAAAACTTGCCATGCAAGATCTCTTGAGCTTGTCAGAGCACGATCAGTCGCGTTGATCTTGGACCAACCTATATCAGGCACCGTTTCAAATAAAGTACAAGGGCAAGTATGCATAACAATATACATGAGGTAGTTCGTTGACCAATCCACACCCAAGTAGTTCCGAGCAGGTGGTTTTTACTGGCGACTTCGGAACCCGAAGCTACCTCTCAGCGTGTAATGCATCTTAGGCTTTTTCTTGTCAAATTACCGGTGCACATTAACATGGAAAGCTCCTCCAATAGTATGCCCGACTGATGCACCCATCATAGTTTCTGATGCACAGCGAGTCGGCTCGAGCTTTGTTGCCACTCCTAACGAACCGTGGTGGCTTGAACAAGCCTGAACCTGAATCGCTGGCTTGGGCGAGTGAATTCAATTATCCAAAGATTTTACAGGTTAATCATAAGCGACAATGCCCTAACATCCTCGACTCTCTCTATTGTCTGCGCCTTCCAAGTTGATCGCCATACTCATCCGCGTCATATGCGCGTATCCGACCCCCCAAAGTAATAAGTTCCGTGTCCTGGCCAAGTCCTGGCAGCTCCACGTTGCAAGTGGTTATTCGAATGAATACAGCAGTTCTGAATGTTGATCCTGGGGCGGATCCGACGATGCTTCGTTGGTGCCGGTGAACTAGGTCCCAGACCAGTGTTTCTACGAACCAAGGTGATAGACTGGCTATCAACGTCCGACCAACGAACATTGTTAACATTATCCTCAAGGCTCTACTCGCACGCTTCGCATTATCACCAGACGATTGTTGGATTTTAAGCGCATGCTCAAGGCTGAAATTTTCCTTGACCGCTTGTGTCGAACCTTCGCTTTATCATCGATATGTATTCGAGGCAATTTTAAGCGTTCTCGAACACGTTTCCCGAGGAAAAATTGGGAGGCTCATAAGACCACCTTTCCTATATAAAAAAGCTCTACGGCCCAATCCACTCAGTGCGGCAAGATTCGAGCTCGAGGTTGGAAGCGGTGATGTCGGTGATGCGCCACGAGAAGAAAGTCATCTTGAATTCAGGACCATAGGCGCAAACTAAGTGCACGCGTAAGAGATGTAGCACTTTCATTCAATTCCTTTGATAGACTAGACTTTTTTAATAAGAGAAGCCCGAAATTCCAATTGATGAAGAAGCCTCAGAGATACTTTATTGAATTCCTTGCGGCTATAGTTCAGGGCTGTGAAGCTTTCATTGTTGCACCCTTTATCTTTAGTGTCTTTCTGCACCTCTGATGTCGATGGATCACGATCAAAGCGCGATGAACGCCTTGGTCGTCCTTACCGGTGATCAACTCCCAGATTGCTTTGTCGGCATCCACGGTGTGTAAACGCCTAGACCCTCGTTAAGGGGTTACCACCTAGGCCAAGCTTGGAATACAGAAAGAAGTTAAACACATAAAGTGAGTGACCCTACAGCATGATTTATACTTATGGCGAGTTTTTGGATTACTTGTGGATCCCCCCCGCTGCAGTACATGACGATGGCCAGCGACCATATTCCACGATAATTCTCCGTACACATCTCTATGTTGGAATTCATCAGATCATCGTACGACAGCGTACGACTAAGCGCCACAAATCCCTCCAAGCCGATAACATCCTGACACGCGCACCCCCAACCGACGAAATCTATTCTCGTCGCAATTATTCACCACCGTCACTAACCCGGAAGGAATGCAAACCAAACTGAGCTTTCGAAGCGAAGAAAGGGCAGTGCAGCATTTAATTACTTACCTGACCATGAGGGACGCGGAGGGAGGCCAATTGAATTAATATTTAAGCAGCTCCGGCCAGTTGACCCCGGATTTCCTGTGCAAAGCAGTAAAACACGTATGGTTGCCGGGTCCTCGTGGCGGGAATATCTAGGGATTACCCCATACACCCCACATACGTCCTGCTTAATATATAACCTAGCACCAAGGACCTCACCAAATTCAAGTGGGGGGTGCCAGAATTGACGGCGAAAATGCTGTGCACATTTGAATATGAATATTCTCCTCGTGCCGCTGCTGGGAATTTTTCATGTTTCTACTGCGGACTCTGTTCTTTTGAGCGGGCTGTGCTATGAAAAGGATGATGTGGTGGTAAACGGACCAGTGGAACTACAGCCTTTCACCTATGAAAATGGCTGGGGTTGCATG